TCATATCCGGCGCTGTCCATTTGTAAGATCGTCCACAGTGGATTGTCAGGGTATGATTTCTTCTTGCATGGATCAGGGTGATAACAGTTGTCTTGAGTTTGACTATACAACGTCCACGCCGCGTGATAAGCTGGCGGAAATCTGCCTTGGACCACATGAACATCTCTAAATCTCGCAAATCCAGGTATCGGATCCAGTAGTTTTAACATCTGAACTTCAGCCACAACCTCTTGAATTGAAGTAAACTTTTTGGATCCTGCACCGCTCTGTGCGCGAAGGGGAACAATTTTAAAGACTCCATTGTCGTACTCTTTCAATGTCATGAGATTCGTTTGTGATAGTTCACGTTTCGTATAGTCGGTTCGTACAGGTAGTTGATAGACCTCGCCGTAAGATCCCTCTGAGATTTTCTCAACGTCAAACATATCACCTGCCCGGTTAGCCCAAGTGTCAAAGTTATCCACAGTCTTGTTTGACATCGCTTCCTCCAGTATTGGCGTTGCATATTTGGTTATGGCGTTCTCCGTTGGCACTGGTGGCTGTGTTTTCGGAGCTTCCTTCTTAGACACTATTCGTTTTTGTTTGGTTTTAACTGGTTCGATAACCACAGGGTCTTGGTGCTCTTCAGCAGCTGGCTCCTGAGATTTTTTCGTTTCCGCCCTTTTTGATACAGCTTGTATTGGTTGTCCGCTTATTTCTAGGAGTGCACGCTCTATCTCGCGTGCTATGTCCGGGTCCATATTTCGTTCGCCTGAGATGAAGAGATCTTCGTCAAGAGTAAATCCAGCAAGTTTCTCCTGGAGTGCTGCGACCACTTCAGTCACATCAACGGCTTGTATCTTGGCGTTTGCATTCCTCCTCTGAAGTGGTAGTTGATCTCTTTCTAAAACCGCATTTGCTGAATCAAGTCGTTTTCCATATACTTTCTTTGAGCGGAGGATGCGACCTTGGTTCTTTCTCGGCGACTTGAGAAGCCAGGGTGAAACCGAATGAGCAAAAGTTTGGGACTCAATCATGATTAGGATTTTCGAAGCTTTCGTTCAGGGATGCCTCAGTGTAATGCTGGGAGAGTCTCGCGTGATGTCAAGATTGAAGCAGTCGAGTTGGCGTTTCTTTTGATACTTCCTAAACCGGAATAGTGCAATCGTTACCAGGACAACATGCTTAATTGCCAAGAGATTAGATTAGATTTAATGACTAATTTCGGTAAAACAATGGTCCGTTCCATTTTGAACTCAATCTTTCGGTACGAGGCGTTACGCAAAAAATTACGGGTATCTGGGGTTCGGCGGTTCAAACTTTCCAGTTAAGAACGATTTCGCCTTACATAGTTATGAGACAGAGCAGTTCGAGTTGTGAATGCTTCATATAAAAGTTCAAAACATTTTGAAAGGCTGTAAACTAGGCATCATCTCCCATCATCCCATCAGCTCCTTTCAAAGCAGTCATCTCTTTCAAAGGCCAAATTGAAAGAATAACAGTGATCGTGTGCTTGTTGTGACTATATTGAACTTGGCTCCTAAAGTTCCCGGCCGGTAAAGCTCATTACAAAAAACCTCGTATTTTCGAGCTTTTCAACCGCAAGATTTCTTTGCCAAGGCGTTTTTCCTTGTTTTCTTCTCCCCCCTTCCGTGACGCTCCTTGACATAATTTTTGAGAACCGCCTTCCCTTATCGCCATCGCAGTTTAAACCGCCGCATCGAACAACCTGGCAAGCCAGAGCAGGTCCATCTCCAAGTCATGCTAGTTTACGTCAGTCCATCAAAGCCCTCTGCTCTAGCATAGGCGTTTCGATCACGGCGCTTCGTTTCATCCTACTTTCGACTTTCGCCTGTCACGAGAGTCCGACACGCGACCCGGGCAAGAATCTGGTCATTCATCGCTGAATTTGATCAAATCTTCGATCGCAAAGTCCGTCGAAGTCGTCCATCCCTATACTTCGGCGCTCTTCCTATCCTATATCGTCTTTCAGATGCGTCGTCATGGCTTTCAACTTCAACTGGTCGCCGTTAATGGCGGATGCAGGATTCTACACCCGAGCACAGGACCTGCTAACCGCGGCACTAAATAAATCACCAAAACCTCCGATTATTGTCGATGATATCGCCGTGACAGAATTAAATTTGGGTTCAATCCCGCCGGAGTTGGAGATACTAGAGGTTGGCGATTTGGCTGAGGATCGATTTCGCGGCATCTTCAAAATGTCGTATTCGGGAGATGCCTTTCTCACTCTGAAAACGCGAGTTCAGGCAAATCCACTAAATACCTTCCTAATAACTCGCCCCGCTTATGCTTCTCCGAAACCTCTTGCTGCTGCGTAAGTTTTATCAGCTTGGTTTTAGCTGTCGAGCTTTGCTGACTGTTGTGGACGAAAACAGATCCGGCTTAACTATCCCCCTGCAAATCACCCTTTCCAACTTCAGACTCTCCGGGTTTGTTGTCCTAGTGTTCTCAAAGCAAAAAGGAATAACCGTTGTCTTCCGTAATGATCCTCTTGAATCTTTGAAAGTATCTTCGACATTTGATTCCATCCCATCTGTACGAGATTACCTTCAGCGGGAAATTGAGGGGCAGCTCCGAATTCTGTTTATGGATGAATTACCTGCCATCATACACAGACTCTCCTTGCGACTCTGGGTGCCGGAATACCGTGGCCTGGAAGCTGGGATTCCAGAAACCGCTATTCCATCGTCATTGGGCCCCGGAGAGGACACGCTACTGAACCCTCCAAAAGACCCAGTGGATGCATCTGGCAACCTATTAAGCTCCGCGGAGATTGCATCTTTATCCCTTGATTCAGGTGTTGAGATGCATTCGCTTTTCTCGCAGAAAAACCTTTTGCGCCTTGCTGCCTTAACCAACTCTCAACGAACCCTCTCTCTTTTTACGCCTTCGATTCGAGAGGTTATGTTCAGAGCAAGGACCGGCTTGGCCGACCAAGGCGAGGGCTTGGGTAGTGGTTTGATGTCACCGGGCAGCCCAGCTCTCTCCAGAACGCATTCTCACATTTCCTCTCCTCTCTCTTCCTTCCAAGATTCCTCGAGCGTTCTATCTTTACAACAGCGATCCACTACAGCAGCTTCTTCTTTCAGTGGATACGGGCTTAGCCTGGGTGCTGGTCGCCATACTAAAGCTCGCCCAACTAAGAAACGAAAGAAGCGAGTTGTTGACCTTAGAAAGCAAAGCAAACCTACAGATCCTGAAATCACAAGTGCAGATGGCGGATACACGGAAACAAGCACAGCTTCAACTACTTTTTCGTCGTCTACTGTCCCTGAAGAAGTTAATGACGATCCCGTTACTCCTCCTCTGTCACCTGAAACGACCATTCGATTTCCCAACCGCCAACATCGATTCTCTACATCCGAAGGCAAAGTTATCGCGCGAGCACCGGCTCAGCAATTGACCTACAGCGAGCCATCGCATTCTGCTTTGCATACACAAACCGCAAATCCTGTGCCTGCAGTACCTCTCCATGCTGAAGGCGCTGCAGTGCCACCGCAACAAGCTCTTGTTTTCGGCGACGAACATTTGGGGTCCCGAGAAAAGTCTATGGAAGCTCAATCTTCCCACGGACCGAACCCAGGCCTATCAATCACAGACGCGGCTCCGAATAGCAGCATCTTAGAGCAAGCCTGGATGATGAAGATGGGCAAATGAAATTGCTCGGCGGGATTCAGGAAACAAAATTCTCTCGTCAATAACAACTATCCTGGGCCTTGGGAACAAACCCGAGCCCGAACTCCACCGCCAGCTTATGGCCAATGAATTTCCACAAGTCCTAACTGTTTTGCGTTTGACGCTCGCGTCTTATCAACCCTTATCCCCACTCCGATAACCAGGCCGGGGTAATTTCAGCCCTTTCAAATTCGCTTCGCCCGGCGTGTATTTATATCTCCAGCAACCCCGTTTGCTTTGTGTTACTATTACTGGCTTTTTGGATGGCGTTTGTCTTTGTGGAACCGGAATTGATACCAGGCGTTGGAAGGGGGCAAAATTCGCTTTGGCCTGTCAAAATTATTATTAGGTCAACATCTCCATAAAGATGGGACCTCGAGTCACTCCTTTAAACATTTCCTTTTGTCACCGTGTAGCTACAAAGTATATATTTATTTCCCCTATGATTTATTCTGTATATAGCGATTGGACAATAATGAATTCTCAAAACAAATCTGCTTTTGCTTATTAGAAGCGCTTCCTCGCTGCTCTAGATATCAAGCTCGGGGCCGTGTCTCGTGGGTGACATCGGCCTTGGCACCCAACGCTTTACCCTGCGATTTGAGGTTCAGGAGCTTTCACCACAATCGCACCTTCAAGAGCACCTCGATAGGCGACGCGCAAATCCCATTCGAGCTTTAGGAGCGATGTCTGGCTTATTCCAGAATATTCTGAAAGGTGGATCGAAAGATTCGACCGCAGGAGCGAAGCAGGATGACACAGGTACCCTCAACGACCCTCAGACGATAGGCTCTAGCAAAAATGCCATTGCGCGACAAAGAAAGAAGAAAGAATAAATACAAGTTTACTAATAGTTGCTTTTTGTCGAAATGTAGATTTCGCCGAGTTTGCAGCGTCTCCTCAACCTCCCGTTGCGTCGGTTTCAACCGCTCCGGCTCCTGATTCTACGGTCGCTGCGCCGGTGAACACCGTCCCCTACACCAAATGGTACCGGGTATGGGAGCGAACGTCGCCCAAGGATTTCTTGCAAGAGGCCTTTGTTCTCCCATTTATACTTTTCATCGTCTTCTTCCACGTCTGGGGAACGCGCAAGAATCGTCGCAAGGCCAAGGCTTGGGCACAAGCTCATATCCCCGTGCTGCACAATGAATTCGCCGTGGTAGGATATCGAGGGGTGCGGAGGGGAGCCCCATTGAAGGATATGTCTTCTTCAAAAGATCTAGTTATTGATGATGACCTGTTGAAGGAGAAGTCTCCCAATGAGTTCACCACGTATGCGACAGGGCGACAAAACGTGGCGTTTGTGGACGTGTCAATTCAGCTGTTGAAGAGATACAATCCAATGTATATAGTGGGTGATACGATCTTTGGGCTCTTCTTCGATTCGCTGGCACCTGCGACCGAGAAGATGGAAATTACTGCTTATCCCTTTGATGGAAAAGAGAAGGATTTGGTGCCCGCACCCCCGGCCGAGAAGGAACAGTTGAGCAAGGGAAATAATTCGACATATGACGGATTTGTCTTTGCTGTCGCGCATAAGAACGCCATGCGGAAACTGAGGCAGGACCGATATGACGTCTCCCTAACCTTCACAAAGGATAATCCTAAGCTTCCAGGATGGGTTACTGTTATGAGTGAAAGTGCCGAAATCACAGACAATATACTCACGAGCGAACTCATCAAAGCTATTGAACAGGCTGGGGACCTGTTCGAGTATCTGATCATTACTGACCAACCTGTCGATAAGCCAACCAAGTATGTTCGATATTCCTGAGATTCCAAGAATTGGCGTACTAACCGATTTACCAGGATCGAGGAAGCAGTCTCCAACAAGCGCACTATTCTCTCCATCCGTGTTCCGTCTTCGACTTCTTCCACCGCTTATGCATCTTCCCTCCCGCTGTTCCACCTCTTCCTCCGACTCACCGACCGGCTCGCTTCCACTGGCCGCCTTCGCCAAGAAGTTCTCCGCAAACTCCGGACGACCCGTGAGGAAGAACTTCGTAAGCTGCGCCGAGTAGCCGAAGAGGAGAAAGCTGAAGAACGTAAATTAACGGCCGAAAGGTTGAAGAAAGAAGGGCGCGATAGAATGTTACGTGGCATGTCTGCTGAGGAACAGAGAAAGTATCTAGAGAAGGAGAAGGAAAGAGAGGCGAAAAAAGAGTTGAAGAGACATTCAAGGAGAGCATGAAATGTAAGATTGTCTCGTATTTGGTTCCGTTATTACCTTCCTCTGGAAAAATTGGCATCTATCATCAAGGCAGGCGGATTTGATGAATATGGGCCCTACTTTCAGCTATAGCAATTCTTTTCCGGAATGATCTTCGTCTATTTTGTCTAAATATTTATCTCCTTGGTTGCAATGTGATATGCTCTCACGGTGGTATACAGGATCCTTTCCCCATGCGGGTATATCGTTGATAGGAAAGCTACACGATGGACAATGCGCGGTAACGCATGTTCTTTTAATTTCAGCTCGCTTCAAACCGGTATTGTATCTCCAGCGTTGCTTTCAAAATTTCTTGTAGGTTAAGTATTACATGTGTAGTATATATCTTGCGAACAATTGTAGATTCCTTCTCCAAGATATTATATACACATTTTCCCCTATCTATTCCACATGACCGCCGAGCGGGAAAGCAAATGCGTAGGGTAGTTTCAAAATCAATTTTCGAATAGCTTATCCCTTCCCAAACCAGGTTTTGTGGCCCTGTTTTTCCAATTGTTAGTTGATGTCCGTTTGAATGCTTGATTGGCAGAGCCGGAAGGATTTCGGGTTTGAAGAAAGCCCGGCAAACCGCTAAGCGAAAAGATATACGTACAAAGACCATTCTAGTCGTTCCGTAGAGAGCGGCTGCAAGTTTACCCACGTTAGCGGCTTGCCTCTTCCCAAACGTAGAAGCAAGTAAGAAAATAAACAAAGAACATACCGCCGAAGCAACCGAACAGCGAGACGTAGAATGGGTAAAGAATATAGGGGCTCCTTTCAGTCTATATTTGCAATCCTTATGTTAGACACCAATTCCATCTAGTTTTCGGCCTTGCTGCGTAATGACCAAGCCCTTGTGGGTGGACGAACCTTCCACCATTGGCGCTTCCCGTCGTGGTTCTGGTAAAGTCGCTGATAGTAGGGAACTCGGTTCTCGCGGAAAACGAACCTAAGCAATAGTTGTCAGCACTTGGGGAATAATCGGCGAAAATTGTGCTTCCATCCCACATGACAAGGCGAGCGAGGAAGAAGTGGGACGAGAATTCATGAGTTCGATGTAGCCCAATTAAGGGGAAAAAACTTACTTATAGGCTCTAGGAAGAGTTCTGGACACCATCTTTGCGCAATTATCAAATTCGCTCAGGTTGTAGGGCGAGGCGAAGCAAGTCAACTAGCGACGAAGGTCTGAGGTCAAGATCTCCGGAAGAGAGAACGCTGGTATCACGCTACGGGCAGCGAACCAGGCCAGTCACGTGGTGCTTAGGTAACCTCCGCAGCAGGACATGATTCTCGGCGGGCAGAAGATGCCGATTGGAATAGATTTTCAACGACAAAGATGGTGAAGCTCGAGGGCGTGATTTCGCTACGATGTTTATTCGCAAATCCTAAAAGCTGGTCCTGCTCTTCAATCCACGATTTTTAGTGTGCGTTCGCCGCCAATGCGGCTGGCGTTGCTGCGCCGAGCACTCTCACTGCGTCCTCGAAACACCATCACATCCGTCCAGGACGTTTACGCATCAATTGAGTCTCAAAGTCTACTACATGGTCGAGCTAAATTCTCTATTTTCCACTCAAAATTTCAACAGCGAACGGCCTCCGCCAGACAGCATGTGGATATCTTCGACTGCGAGCGCGACCACGAGAGAGATGGAAAAGAGGACTACACATACAACGTTGCGGTTACGGAGCTTGAAAACCAGAGTATAGCGAGTACTTGTCCCTCGGAATATCCCACTGAATCCTCTCCATTGTTTGATTCCTCTGTCCGCTCCTTGCGCGATCCATCGGAGCCCATTTCAGATTTCATAGGACCCTTGCCCAGGCCCTCGAAGTTTCAACTTGATCCGCTGAGGTTAGAATTCGAATCAGATATCGGCAACTCGGAAAAGATTGGAAGCAAACTACTTGACGATTCACGATATAAACACGATTTTGGATACTGGAAAGAGTTGCTGGACTATCGCCAAAGACATTACGGCGACAGGGGCGTTGTGCATATATGGAAAGGACTCACTGAAAGATGTGCAGGACTGGATTTGCCAGTCGAAGGAGCGGATGCTGATCATCTATGGAAGATTTTCATAGCTGTTGCCGTGAAAGAGGAACGGTTAATGAAAGAGGTGCAGTTATACGCAGAGGATTTATGGACAAGAACAGGGAAGCGGTGGCGCCACTTCTATAAAGAGGCCGTTGGTGCGTATTTTCGCCAGGGGCGTTCTAGAAAAGCCGCAGAATGGCATATCAGGTTGAAGCAAGTTCACTTTAGATGGCCGAACGAAATCCTTACTGTGCTTCCACAGGCACTATCCGCCGAGGGCGGCCTACAAAGCTTCAGGAACATCTGCAGAGACGTTGAGGGACATAAAATTTACGGCAGTGTGGTGCCGCTTCTCTGGAACCAGGGGAGGATTCGAGATGCGCTCGCAATGCATGACTTTTTAATGTCTCGCGGAGACGGTCCAGGGGCGATCTCGGAAATTGAGCCGCTACTGAAATACGTTGAGTTGTATGGCTCCGAGAAGCAGTATAGCTACTTTGCCAGAGAGCTTGTAAAAGCTGGCATCATGCGTAACGGATCACCTTCCGATACAGAAACAGCACCGTCTGAGGCAGACAAACAAACCGATACTAATTCGAATCCGTCAAAGAAAGTGGTTTTCAACGATGAATTTGGGGCACGATTGTTTGCCACTAAAGCTTTGACCTTTGACTTGATTCTTGCTGGTTTGATCATGTTTGGGGTCGAAACAATTGGTCCCCTGACGCTTCGAGAGATGGCGATAAGGACCAGAAGCGTGGAAGAACTAGTGTCTCAGTTGGTGGCCCTAAAAAGGGCGAAGATTTCTACGGGAGAATCAGTCTTTTCGAAAGTGGTCGTGAAACTGGCTTTTGGAAAGTCTACTAAGTTGCTGGAAGACGTTCTCGAGAGCGATCAACATCCCGATGTTTTTGAAGATATGAGGATTCAAGAGTCACTTCTCGCTACATATACGCTGGCTGAAGACTGGCGACAAGTCAATAAAACCCTTGCGATTATGTCGGCCGCTTCAAACGAAGACCCTCAGAACCATAATGTCCTATTTCGGAATGCGGTGCGAGTTGGCAATTGGGATGCTGCGAAGCAGCAGTTTGAGACGATGAGAGAGCAAGGCGTTCACTTATCAAAAATGACCATCCTGTGGTTGGCGCGCGAGATACTCCCTTGGCGTCGACGGAGCCACCGTCCCCGCAAAGACAGGGCCTCAGTCGACGCTCTACGGCGCCTAATCTGGATCTACCAACAAGTGATAATATCCGGAGGACGTGTCCCACCGGAGGCATGGACCGAGTGTATAAAACGCCTTGGCATGTACGACTTGTGGGACGAACTTGAGAAGTTGTGTTTCTGGATAGTACCCTTTTACGCGCCCACAAGAGCTGCGAGACCCGGCTGGGTGCATAGTTCCAAGCCACCTTCGCTTTTCTCGGATGGAGATGCGCAATCCCTTGAACGTTTGCTGCCGACAGCCCATTCAAGCTCTCCACTGCGAAGGATATTTAGCGTTCGGGTACAAGAAGCGATCATCGCCTGGGGATTCATTCTCCGGCCACACCCTGATTATCGCAACCGACTGTTACCCAACCCTTTCAGCAGGGGTGAATACTTGATTCCTTGGGTTCGAGGAATAACGCTTCTTCGCGAGTTGAGAAGAAAAGGCGTAGTCGTCCAAACCAACACTGTCAAACGCGCCTGTCGAGCCCGGCTTGCGACACTGTTTTCAAATTATCGCCGGTCGAATCGCCAGCGGAACCGTATGCTCCGGAGGGAAAACCCATGGTCTCTAAATGAAATCCTGCTGGATATCCGCAAGGCTTGGGGGAAACCTATGTTCCTTGAATATGGGTCGGATTACCGCAAACTTGTGAATCCTAGGACCCATGCTGTACGGCCTGGGCGCTGGACGCGGAGAGCGACTGAAGATTTCGAGAACCGGCGCCAGGCTGGGTTTTCCCACTACGAGGGGCCGGGATGACATCAGTTGGTGATGACTGGGTTTTATTTCCATGCATGTACATGACGGTTCCCTGGCGTTTAGATTTTCATAAGACGGCTGGAGCATTTTATATTCAGGTCGCATGTTGATACCCCAATTTATGTGTATTTATATATTAAGGGCCATTTGTCCTTCATTATGTCCATTGAATCAGAGGCTTATGCTGGCAACGGCTGCAACATTTCTCCTTTGCTGAGATTCATCCCACATGGCTCCTAGGTAACGCCCGAGATATTCTTCCCGAACAGTAGAACTACATACTTATGATTCGCGAGCCAGTATGTCCTGCACGACCTTGACCTTGGCCTCTATCGTCTCCTTCTTATCAACCCTGATTTCCAAAAGTGTTAACATCCCAGGACACAGACCGTTCCCCCGCATCAAGCAGAAGCACAACAAGGGGCATCCATCTTATCTTACCTTGAGCCAACTCGGATGTCCGTATGGACGCGCACCATTCCCTGTTTGTGAAGCATCGAATGCGCCTGGCCGATCAGCTTGAAGACCATATCCCACGGACCCTCTGTAGATTTTCGTCGGCCATCAGCCATCAGCATGGGGGTTCCCCTCACCCAATTCTTCGTTCGATTTGAAAGCTACCTACCCACTGTCGTACCGCAGGAATGCATGAGATACTTCAGGCCTGAGTTGCCGACCAGACGCTCAACGTCAGCGATGGCCTCGGAAACCGACGGAGAGGAAGTCCCGATCTACGTTAGGGCAGACGAGTTTAGTTATGTTTGGTATTGTTGCCATGAACGGCTTGGGCAAGGGTCTGCAGCGGCGGGCTATTACCGGAATCAGGCAGAAATCGGCGATGCAGTGATCCGGCGAAGAGTAGTCCCCAGGGTTGGTCGTCATTTTTGGGATAGCGAATCTCTGTCGACTTTTGAGTAGATATGCGGTAGACGTCTTTGATGTCCTGGAATTTGCGTGTTGAGCGGAAGGGGTGGGAGAGAAGACGGCTTTTAACCAAAGCTAATTGATGCCTTTTCCTTGCGCATGAATTGAGGGGCAGCATGCACGGTGTCTATGATCTCATTCAAAGTCGACAATGCCCGCTGGCCGGAGAGCATCTAGGGTTTGACAAGCATTTCCATCAACCGTTCGCCACTCTTGCTTGAATTCTCGCGCTTCATGGATGGATGTATGCACAAGGCTCTGTACATCTACTTTTGTGTCTCTGTGGGCTTGCATTGCCGCTTTCTTGGACTGGGATGCACCAACAACGAAGGAGTTGATTATGCCTGGAGCATTGTTGTAACTGTTGAATCTATATTCCGAATTGAATTTGGTGCAGGATGGGACAATGCGGACTCCTCTTTTGACTGATGTTGGTGGCTCAATGTGGCCTCATCGGGCAATGCATGCATCAGCCTATGCACGGGGTTCAAATCCGCTCTTTTTTACTCCGTAGAGATTGAGCATTTGAATAGCTGATTATCAGTTATTTGGAAAGAGGCGTCAAAGCCATGTGGATTCACTGCCAATCAACTGCAGGATCAGATCGATATCGACGTTTTGGCCGCGCCAACTCACGTTCAAGCACAGCAAATAGCGATAGCGTTCTGTATCAGTAAAAACCACAGGGGAGGAACAAACCAATAGTGTCACCAAGACCCAGTCCACCGGGAATAGACAATTCGGGGCCGTCGTTGAAGCGGTCTGACCTGTAGAAATGCTCGTCGATATCCCGCCCATATGGGCGAGGCCGGAAGCCCTTTTTGTATAGCCTTTCCGCCGTTCGGATAACGAGCCCTAACTGCTCCCTCTGGTGAATGATCTTTGGGGACTTCCAGTTGAACATGACCGCTCCAGCTCCAAAATACGAAAACTGGCCGTCACCAATAAACTCCGGCCCCAACAGAGGACCTGCAGGCGGAAACTCAGCTCCGCAACCCTTGCCAATATGACACCTGCATAATCTCGATCCGTGCGAGAGCAATTCGCAACCCAACTGGGCGGAAGAATCCGTCAAGACTGGTCCCAAGCTCCACCAGGCCAGCTGTATCTGAGGCCGAGCCGGCCAATTCTTCAGGTCTGCAGGCGAGGATTTGCGCGATCAGACCTGCCATTCAGTCAGCGATTGCTTTGAGTTTTGAGCCAGAGAAGCAGGCCCTTAATAGTCTGGAGATTAGCCTCTGCAGCCTTGGATCTTACTGGTGTCCCCACGAACATCGCCCGCCACCACGCCCGCTAGCGAGCGAATGCTGTTGTGCGACTAATTCATGCGCTCCCGCTCCAGATGGTCAGCTGGATTTAGAATTTCAGCCGGCCCCGAGTGTGAGAAGACATTTAACTCCAGCAGCGTCCGCACTCTGTTGCTGTTGTGTTGTCGAGGGTCCCGAGGAGAAGGATGAAGAAACGGCGAAAGCGGATGCGAACGATCCCACGATAGCCTCAAGGACAGTGACAACCTCGATTCCCCTCCACAACCCGTCGATGCTCAGGTACGTGTTGTTGTATGTTTCTCGTTCCGCTGGCCGTTAGAACTCCGGTCCGTCCCTTGATGGTGGGCTGCAACGCGCTCGTCCATGAGAAAAAGCAAGCGGCGCTCCCACGCGCTGTTCGTATTTTGATGGAGCACAAATACGGAGAAAAGGGACCACAACGCGGCACTTGATTGCTTTTCTCTGTCAACCGCCAACGACTAACTGCCGGCTGCATAGGCTGCTTTGAACTGCTCTGCCGTTGCTGGGAGCTTTGAGCACCAAGGAATTAAGCGAAACGAAAGTCGAGTCGCGATTTCCCGGCCGCTACACATCGGGCATATATCAGCCTGCTTCTCGCCAGCCGGCGCTTCGTATCAGCCTCTCGCCTCTCTATCGGCACCTGCTCTCGCGCGCTCCCCTACAGACACCCTTCCATGGCCCACGCGCCGATCTGGAATCTCTTCCTGACAGATTTTCCAGACCACAGCTACTTTCTCCTGTTGCTCCGTCTTCAAGCCTGGCATTTCTCTTCTACACAGCTACAGCCTTTTGTTGCTCTCCCTATCCAAGGGCAGATACGGAGCAACCTGCATCACTGCGAGCCCTGACCGTGAGATGCAGTGACGAGCTAGTTAAAATACCGTCTCTTTCTTGCCCTACCGCTTTGGACACGCCATAGCGACTCACTCATTAGAATTATTGCCAGCCTCGATCAAAGGTGCGCTCTTCACCTTTGGCCAGTCTCCTGCCCGAAGTGAACCAGCGGATTCCTGTGTGCGTTGTTGATAGCGTGCTTGTTTTTGTCGGACTATGTACAACTTTTAGCACAGACTCTCTTTTCTAGATCTGGTCGTTGGAGCTGGCAGAAGAGACTGGATTTACTTCATGAGTCGATTATAGCTGTGAGATCGTATCGTCTATACGAAAGAGGACAAATGGCACCAATGCAATTGGATACGGCAGCCAGTTCGTTCTCGATGCCAATCCCGGAATTACCCGCCGACACGAAGCTGGTCTACCTGGCTGAAGGCGGTGCAAATATTGTCTATAGGATGGTCTTTCCGGAAACTGATAGGACGAGTCGGGAGGCGGGAAACGTGGGACACCGAACCATTTTCCAGGGCAAGCTTCTGCGGCTGAGGAAAAGAATAGATTCGGGTACACCCTATACTGAAACGGCCAGGAATTTCGATACTCAGATCAAGGCGCTTTTCCGGGACAGTGAGCTTGTAAGTCAAGAGCTAATACGGCTACCCAAGGGCTTCGCCGTGGCTTGCAATGAACGGTTGAGGGAAGACGAGGCAAACGGCCGGCGACCAAAAGCTCGGCATGGAGTTTACCTCTCTACCAAAGAGCCCTTTGGACTGCTTATCACTGACATGAGCCCGGCACCGGGGTCAGGCGAAAGTCTCTGGGAGTTTAAGCCGAAATGGCTACTGCAATCCCCGTCGGCACCTCCGAATTCCAAGAGGTGCCGTACTTGCGCATTGCGAGAACGGAAGAATTACCAGGCGTGGCAGAAGGGAGAGAAAACACGTCGCGGATTCTGCCCACTCGACCTTGTCTCCGGCGACTTCGAGGCCGTGCTTCGTGCCGTCCAATCGATGAAAGGCCCACAGCATGGCAGAGTCGGCGTTGCGAAGTTCTTACATCAGAATCCGACGCTTTTAAAACTTCGAGAAAGTCAACAACGGATGAATGCGGTCGGCCTACCCGGGCTGGAGGCCGATTATCGCGACCGAGCAGTCTCAATGACGCTGCGAGACTGCACAATGTTTGTAAAGGTGAGGAGATTTACCACAAGAGGCTTTGCTACCTGTGTGACCGCTTGGCTTCCCGCGGAAAACTAAGGTGCGATTTGGCGCGATGACTGAGCTTGTATTCCATAGGTTCCGCGCGACGAGAATGCAACACCTGAAGTTCGTCTCGGAGACCTTGATTTCAAGAGCGGCATAGGCGGGAAGCTGGAGTATTGGCGAGATGTTGAAACACAACTCATCAACGAGGGATGGTACAATGGGATCGACACGGGCATAGAAAACGGCCATTGTTCCTTGCAGGATCTACACAAGAAAGCCAAAGCGGAATAATGATTGTAGACGACGGCATGTTGCATATATCTTACGGGGTTTATGGGGATCCATGTTGCAAGGAGGGAGCATTGAGACGGATGATCGAGGGCATGCATACAATGGATAGATTCCGCACTACAGGCGGGCGGCAAGAGTCGACAAGCATTATTATCATTATCATTACAGCAATTGCATGAGGAGCTATCCCAATTCAGACATATCCCAGGTTCTTGACCGTGAACCGTGAGAACTATGCATGTGCAACTTTGACTACGCTTGGCTAGCCTAGGCGAGTGAAACAAAGCTTCATAGCGGTAATTCGCAAAGTGGAATTGCACAATAGAATCCAAAGCCTTCCCAGGCGCCGTTCTTCGTCCTATTGCTCCACGCTGATGGGGGAGCACAAGCGCGATCGCCCGAGTCTCCGGGCGGCCCTTTTAACGGGAGGGCCCCCGTGCCCGGTGCTGACAGCCCCACACTTTAGCTAGGCGGGCCCCGTAGAACTCGGCTTCATAGGGGCCCCTTTTCCGGCTTCCACGGGGGGGAGCGTGATGGCACCTGCATTCGAGCACACCACCACGAGGGGAACTGTTTCAAAGAATGTAACCCCGAGCAGAGCTTTGAAACATCGATATGTAACCACTTCCTACCAAAGTGTTTTCTTTGATCGACTCCTACATACATACACTTGTCTGTTTTTACTTTCGGTCCGAGATGCGGGCGTCTTGGGGAGCGGAATGCTTCCACGGTTCTCGATGACAGCATCAAACAGTTAACTTGCAACGATGATTGGGCCAGTGCTGCTTGTTTTCCCGGGATCAACCCTTGTCAGCCTGCTCCCGGGATTGCGAAGATGCGATGAGAAGTGCAGAAAAGAAAAAATGAGAACGCTCTTTTTCGTGATGAGATGCGGGGTGATGCAGGGCTGGAATCTCTGATACGGGGAAGAAGGCTTGTGAACTGACCTTTTATTCCCCCAACGGCGGTGAAGCATGGAGAATGAGGCTATGAGGATATCAAAGCACGAGCGGATGCCTCCGCTTTGAGCAAGCAAGGATGAGGGATCTGGGCGCGCGCGAGCTACGTAGACACATGGATGCTTTGTGCAACTGTTAACGATGGATGGACGGAAGCATTGGACAGACGGAATTGACGTTGAATATCCCCGATGCTAATAAGAGGGCTTCGGGCCAGCTGCTCAACCCTGGCATCAGGCAAAACTATTAAATAGCTGGCCGTCTTCTGCTGGTCACAGCCATTCCTCCAAAGCTAGGACACTCGCAAAACTGCCAAATCAGATAAAAAAACGAAACCATCAGCACCATGAAGCTCAGCGCCGCCGCCCTCTCCCTTGCATTCTTCGCAACGCTCGCCGCTGCGAAGCCAGAGCCGGTCATCAACGAGGATTTCTCCTATACATATGCCGACCGGATCGAGTATGAGACGTGCACAGGATATCGATTTTCGAACGAGCGGTGCCAGGGGAAACGTCTCGGCTCGCGCGTGACCAACTGGTGGGATTGGTAAGAACCCAACCCTTTTGCTTCGTCACGGAGCAGGGCAAAGCAGAGCCAGAGCCAGGCTGCAAGATTGCTAGCTTGCTAGTGCAAAGAACACGGGCTAACAGCCACGATACAGCCAGGACATGGGCGGCAAGTGCTGCGGCCTGAAGAGGAACGGAGTCGGCGGATTCTTGATCGATCCTGAGAAGCAAGGCGGCGGGAGCTACAGATACGGAGGCTGTGATTACTGTTTCTCAGGCGGCTGTGTGGCCTCGTAAAGCGCTGGGCGCGAATGCGATTTGTTGGCTTGGGTTGGATGGCGATTGGCTCTGCCACGACTCCGCGATGGCTGGGAGATGCAAGCCCTTTTGGATTTATGTTGCCAACGGCCGGATTGATGGATGGGAATGCTTGGATTCGTTGATTGATGACTTGTTTCCCACGAGGAATACGGAGTACATAACTGCTGTGTTATACCTTCATTACGCGACCCCTTTGAAGAAGACAAACTCCAAAGGCCGCCTCACTCCTTAGTTCATACTATTGACAGGTGCAATTTTCTTCTGAACTTGAACAAGTAACCAGCCAAATGCGCTGATGTCGCAGTCCTGAGTCCGTGCAGATGTCCCAACCCGACAACTATGAACTTGACCCTTCGGTATGCCGGGATGTCAGCAATAAACGCGGGCGAGAAGCCGACTCCCTCCCCGGCAAAAGCAAGCATCGGCGATCCCATGTGTCATTAATGGTCAATGCTGGTTCAAGCGCGTCAGCCGAGAAGCAGGTCATAATGCATGTCTCTAGAGAACGCGGAAAATTGCCGAATCATCGGTTTTGGGTCCGTGTTCCGTCTCAGCGGGCTGCCCCAAAGCAGCACGAAGGCTAGGAAAGCGGGCTCGCCAATATGAGAGCCATCGTTGTAGGCGGTACCGCGTCCGTGTGGCTAATTTACTACTCCTAAAAGGGAGTCGTCGAAAGCGTCAACTGTAGAGGGATATTGTTGTTTCCCTTTAGTGTCATTCATTGATCTCATGATCCCGCCATGGTGACAGGGTTTCATCCAATTCCGCACTTGTGTGAATCACTATCCCCCAACCCTGGTTCCAGAGGCTAGTGCACGCAGCAAAACCAGTGTCACCTTTTCTTCTGGACGGCCGGCAAAGTTTCAGTTACCTTCAAGGTAGCCAAATATGCTTCTCGTTCCGCTAGCTTGGTCCGTTCTTCTTTCAGCAACCTACCAACGGTCGTCAGGGCTTCTCCAAGTTTATCGAGCTCTTTCGCCTCTGATTTCTGGCTGTATGGGTTTTTCGGGGAATCCGAGTACGGGATCTCCGCTGTCCGTCCACTCAGTTGCTGTTGTTGCTTTGCGCCTTTCCCAGCCTTCCCTCTCGCCGGAGCTTGCGCGGGAAGGGCTCCACCGGTCAGGAGATTGTAAAACTGCTCCACCGGTTCATTGAAAACAACTTCTTCATAGTTTTGACTAATAATAGTCTCCCGTCTTGCTTTCTTAGCCTCTGCATCCGGTCCGTATGGGTGCAGTTTTAGGCTGTGCCACAGCGTCTGCGGCTTTTCCATAGACTCCGGGACAAAGTACAGCTTTATCTGGATTTCAAATTCACCCCAGCCTGTCTCTGTAACTTCAAAAGGTGGGCCTTCGATGGTTCGGATCGACTGCGCATAGGTTTCGTGGAGTTTGAATTGGACCTTCTTTAGCCAGTATGATATATCTTCATCGTTGACCCCCTTCACCCAAACGCGCCACTGATGGGTGTGGTCTTCAGGGATATTCGGCGGTCTCTTATTTGGGTCAAAGGGCTGCGCTTCACTTCCAAACACTGAGCACCGTTAGCATCCAGAAAATCTGGGTCATGGTACATCTCAGACGACCTACCGAATGGCCGGAATATCGACGTCCCCTAAACAAGCCGGGTGGTAAGCATATAAGCAGGACGAATAGGGGGTGGCGCGACACGAACCCGGACCCTTTTTGTACCCGCTGGCGCTGGCATATTCTTCAAGACGGCGATGAGTTCGTAGTGTGTTAAACCCGCTCCGAGTTGGTTTTTGGCTGCGTTTGTCGAAGAATCGCGACTCGAAGAAATGACCCGGATGCCAAGCCTGGATACACGTGACAGCTCTCTAAGCTCTGAAGTCACAAACACTGAAGGTTGGAAGCTGTCAAACCGGGGAGAATTGGATGTGAAAATCTTGAACCTCAATCCTAGCTTACTTGAGAGATTGAGCCTTGAATGGTTCTACTTTGCTGACTGCGGTGCGACCGCCATTGAAGTGCATCTGTTGATTCCGTGTTTATTTTGGTTCTAGAAACAATGGCAGCGGCAACAAGGCTAGTGGTTGCAGGCGGAAGCGGATTCCTGGGTACGCTTTATTCTTGACAATCCAACTTGACTAGAAAATGAAAACTGAACATTAGGCCGATAGGATCCAGGATCTGCCAGTCCGCGGTAACTAGAGGCTGGGAAGTCGTTTCCTTGAGGTACCTCTCCCACTACCGTTCCCTGGATGCCATTATCACAGTTCTAAGTGATTTCTCCGCAGTCGACACGGTGAGCCAGCATGGGATACCGTTTCTTCGTCTACTTCTCCCCCACGGTGGGCCAAGTCGGTCAACTGGGTCAAAGCCGATGTCATGGATCCAACCACGTACTCGGCGCATTTAAAGAACGCTACAGCCGTCGTGTACTCATTAGGGATAATCTTGGAAGCAGACTACAAAGGAATTGTACAGGGAAGAGAATCAGTGTTTGATGGAGTACAGAAAATGTTCTGTTCGTCCAGATCACTAGAAAATGGGAAACAGAAGAATCCACCGCATCTAAGCTACGCTGTTATGAACAGGGATTTAGGTAGGTTTAGGTCCATGGACTCGCAGTGCGATAACAACGCTACTGATATTGTTCCGAATAGCTGTCACGCTCGCAAAACATTCATCCCAAGAAAACGTCCAGACCTTCGTGTATATTTCCGCGGAAGCCGGCGGACCCATTTTGCCATCAGGATACATCAATTCAAAGAGACAGGCAGAATCTCTGATTTCAACAGACTGCCCAAACATGCGTAATATCTTCGTCCGCCCAACATTCATGTACGACCAGTCCCGCAAGATGACGATGTCAATCGCATTGGGCGGCATAGTGGCGTCTGAGGTCAACAATATGCTCGGTGGGAGGTTATCTTTTATGGGGATTATGGCTGCTAAGCCATTGAAAGTCGGCACTGTAGGCGAGGCGATTATCGAGGCTGTTGGAGACGGTGTAACCAAGGGTGTCGTGAACCCTACGAGGATCGAAGATTTGGCGACTAAGGGGTGGAGGAGAACTATGCTCTAAATGGCCCTCAATAGCCCATCGCCGGCGGTGATTTTCCTGGCGGGGCAGTGTACATTATGTTTGCTTTCAGTCCTAGGACCCGGTAATGGCCCTTTTGTAAACTCGGCTCAGTGTAGACTTCTCAGATCATCGTTCCTCGTTCAAAGCTGTCTCGAATCTCAGCGGTATACTGTGCAGGAATGTCAGTCCAATCGTGTTCACTCAAGCCTTGGAATGATAACGCCAGGACGTACCTTGTTATAAAATCTGGCCAATTTCTGATTAAATCGTTTATTCTTGTCGTTGATGTAGGTAACGTCGGCATCGTCTTCACCAAGGCCACGTTCCCTCCGTTTCTTGAGTCGAATCTCTTCGGCCTTTTGCAGATCGGCGACCAACCTATCCACAGCTGCTCGATCAGGCCGATTCTGTGCAAATTCGATAGAGTCTGCAGTGGAATAGAACGTCCCATTCTTATCCACAGCCACAAGTTCGCCATCCTCCCCTTCGACGAGGTCGAGGCCTCCATTTGCAGCCGCGCGCATAACAGCATCAGCCTTCTGAGTCTCGTACGCATCGAGATTCGGTTCCATTCGACGCAACTGCCGCTTATAATTCTTATGTGCATCTTGGCGCCAGTCTTGAAAAGCCACATCGTCTCGATGTTTCTGCTTCTTCTCCATTCTCCTGTCCCATTTTTCCGATTCGTCAATAGTCCAGTCCCAAGCTCGCTTGCGCTCAAAATCTTCACCGGAGGCCTCTATATCGGCTTTTAACAGGTTATGTGATGCAAAAGCATGTTTACGCGATATCGAGTTAAGGAGGGTGGGATCGGTCTTTAGTCGTTGGGATTCAGCAGCCGTTTCCTTGAGATTGCTCTTCGCAGCGCTTTTCTGCGTGGATGGTCAGTTTCATATTATTACCGCGACTTGATGTCTGATGAGTGCACTAACCGCCCTAGCTTGTAACGCTTTGAACCTGTCTAATCTTTGTTGATTTTTGGAAGTTGGGTCGTCCGCCGGCTGCTGTTCTCCCGGCGCGGCAAGCTCCTTGTCTGCATCCATACTTGGTGTTGAGGAGCCGGGTATTCGTTCCTCGGACTCTCGTAAAATCTTCGGGTCTTCTGGCATTGTGGATGATCTTTCTTCAGCAGTCATGTTGCTCGACAGCATCCAAGTCTCTGCTCTCTGACAGAAAACCAACGAGTGACGTGCGGTTGGGAATCAGCGTGTTATCCCCGATTACATAATCACTTCAGTCACCCGCTTGTCTCTTCTGCAACGCGTTTTCGAGGGCTTCAATGTTGAAGTGAAAGCAAGTCTCAATGCTCACTGCGACATCAAAGGCTTGCCGGCTTCCTGGGAACATACGATTGAAGCCGGCCCTCGCCCCATTTGTGAGACATTCCCGCACCTCGCCCATTCACAGACGAGAACTATCCTGCTCCGTCCCCCAGCTTCCGCGAGCACAACTCCTCCGTTATGCGTTAACGGGGTCGACCGCGGCGTCAGCGGTCAATGGGCAACTATCTCAGCTTGATACACAGTTAGACCAATTATTCTCGACGCCGCTACTACCAAAAGGCCTTGACGAATCCTCCAATCGAGAAATCGGCTCCCCTTTCCGGTTCCGTGCTCAACATGGCCATATCCTGTCAAGCATCCAATCCGAAATCGAAACTAAGATCACGGATAAGAGGTCGGGAGATGAGTTTGTAGGCTCGTTTCCTCTCTTTCGGGAGGCTTTGGGTCGGTGTGAAAATGCAACGCAATGGGAAGATCTAATTGCGACGATTAACGGGACGTTGGCGAGGCTTCAGAAATTGAATGTCATAAACACGCGGGAATTACTTCTTTTGGGTATGAACTACGCCGCCCAATGCTTTTCTGTCCCCGCACTACGGCATTATTTCAAACGGTATTCTGAGGGCGGATACGAGCATCTGAGCCCAGAGACCGCTAATCAGCTGGTTAACAGCTTGACTAAGGGCCTAGAGATGAGAATTCTCGACAATCCCAGCATAGATAAAAATAAAATGCGTCAAGTTATCATGGGCACCAACAGCAGCGATTCCGGATCCGGGGCGTTCCACTCCCTTCTCGATATTTCACACCCTTCGGAAAACGCCTTTCTTGGTGCGTATGTCAACTTATTAGGCGATCTTGGCGAACAAAAAGGGTTGTCCGAGATATGGCAAGTTATACGGGCACAGTTCGTCCGCAGCAGACAGACAACGCATCTAAAAAAAGCAGCAGCCAATTGTTTGCAGGCCATGGTCAAATCAGGAAATCCACAGGCCGCCATCGAAGCCGCTCGGGATGTCTCCAGACAAGTGGATCTAAACTCGTTTTTCCCAGTGCATCTCTGGGGTCTCCTGATTCAGCACGACCAAGATGGAGTACTTTGTGGACTACCTATCGACAAGACGGTGCAATCCGTCCTTGATCGAGAGCTACGTGTGATGGAGATGAAACTTGGCGTGCGATGGTCTGGTAAAGAAAATGGAAGTCATTCTTACGTTCGGGATACGCCAGTCTGGTGTAATAATGGCAGCCCAGAAGACGTATACGAATGGCTTGGTACTAGCAACATGATTCCAGCGGCATCGCATTTGCTTGACTTATTCGGCGTCGCCAATTCTTCAAGGTCAATTGCGAGCATATCTAGCATGGCTGATCTATTGAACGAATACGAAGGAGTCGAAATACCACTGTGCATGGCGCAGAACAAGCAGTTTGGTCAATTAGAACTTGCGTGGATCACTCAATGCTCACCCATCGAGATAACGCAAGACAAGGAAATTCTGGCAGAGGAGAAATATCGCGCTCGCCAGCTCTCATCCCTTGGCCTATTGAGAGTTCGTCAGGACTGCAATGGCGTCCCTCGAAAGGTTGGACCCCACGTCCATCTCATGCAAGTCGGATATGTGGCAATGAGGAGAAAATCCACCCTCGCCAAATCTGGGCTTCCAACGGCAGAACCAGAACAATGGACGCCAACGGGTCACGTCATCGGCTGGGATCGACGAAACGGCAAACTTGTGTTTCTCTGGGTGGGTAAAGGCTACGGTGCCATGAAAGCGGGATTGGTGCAGCCGAAAGTTTCGTCATGTCTTCCACATGCTTGTGCAGAAGTGAGAAACCTGGTTGAACTCAAAAACTCGATCGAAGGGAAAAGATCACTTGAGACGGATGTGAGTGCGCTTGGTTTGGATGAGATGTTCAAAAACACAACGGGCCTTTGGATCGATGTCGACCCCTGTTTTGACCTACAGACCTGAATGCTGTTTTTACTTCAGCTTGGCCTCACTCGTCTTGCTCAAACCGCGTGGCACCTCTTTGGTTTCAGACGAGAGCTATCGTCTGAATCCTAATAATCGGCAACTCCCCTCGCTTATTGAATGGTGGTCACTCAATGCTCACCCCGCGCGCTATTGTTGGAAACCTAGTATTATTTCCCGGCTCGTCCCGAGGCCAACTTGTCAGATGGTTTTTGGAACGTATTAAGTTTAGGGAAGGCGGCAAGGACCCGGTTCTACGGGCCTTCGGACGAACTTCATGCAGCTTTAGCGAATTCGGAATGAATTCTATCGAAAAGAGTCAATCAAGTCTGTGTAAGATTAGGTTAGACCATCAGATAATGGAGCATTTGGGGGCGAATGGCGCAGCTCTTGACATCATGCCCCCATGGCCATCCTCCAGCCTCAAGCATCCAGTTAAAGAGACTAGAATCATCATCATGGGACAATCTATATGTGTAAATCTCAGAATGAAGTCGTGTGGTACCTTGCAGCCGACATTCACAAGACGTCAAACTCTTTCAATCCGGCCCAGGCGTGCCTTTGTGAACACCTGTTGGCTGTGTAACCTGAGAGCGGATGGGTAGGGGATTGAAGCCGAGAGGACATCTGCGTGATTTGTGCAACTCTAAGTTTCAGAAAGAAAAGAGCTCAGGTTAAGATTATCAAAAGTTTCCTCGCCATTAGCTGGCAAATCTCAAATCCCGGCCCTTTTCAAAGCGCGAGCTATTTAGGGAAGCATAGTGGTGATCGTCCCGGCTCGACCTGTGTTCAAGAAGTGAGAAACGTTTCCCGTCGCAGCCGGAAAAAGGGGGGAGGAAGTTTGGTCCCATTTCTCGGGACCGGTGATGAAGGCATGCGCCCTACCATTCTATTCTGTTGAGGCTGTTCAGTCTGACGACGTTTCACTTAATCAGGGACAGAGGGGGGTGAGATATCGGGATGCCTTTTCCGCTCTTCAATTGAAGACCAACATATGGAGTACAGGGTATATTCATTGCTAAATTGATGTTGAACTCGCAGAAAGGTGATGCCACGTGTGACATCTATAACATCTCGCATTCCGTCACAAAGTGATACTCCAGACTCTTGGGGGAAATCATCTTGGCGATAAGGATGGGATACTCCCGCTCGCTATCTAGTACCTTCCAAAGACCCGTGGCTGCAACAACAGATATTAGTGCTCACTTCCATTGTCAGCTGGCTAAACACAGATGCTGTTTGGAACAACATAGGAGATGCGAATTCAGCTTAGATTCGAGGTATCTCACAGCCTCGAAAATAGCATCTAATGTCGAGGTTCGCATATAACGTTCAAGTAGAGCCAATTGAAATAGATACCGCACTCATCAACTCACACTCTCTTCATCAAGATCCAAGAATAAATTGAGAGTGGAGAGACTGAGTGGCACAAGACAATGGACCAGTAACAAGTGATCCTCAACCACCTGCCTCTGAAAATAACGCCACTTGACAAAAGCAAGCAAAATAAGGGGCGACGATCACCCACGCCGCCACGCGGATGGAAGTTCAGAACATGAGAAAAAGCAAAGAGAACGAAGTGCTCAGGAGTCAGAAAAGGGTTCGCTGTCTCCATCCGATTGGGCGTGGGCTCCTTGACATTTGTCTGGTACCGAGTGAGCCGTTCGCGTATCCCAAGCGCCAGGGCGGTTCTTCGAGCTCAGGACTCCGTACCGCCAATGCCGGCAGTCTTTACCGTAAAGTTCAGGGAATGAGCTGAATTCCGGCGGAATCGCCATCCTTGTGGGAGTTCACTGAGATAATTCGCTATGTATGCAGGGAGCGTTCCATGCATCAGCCATGTGGGCCGGGATCTCGGCCACGTTCAGGATCAAGGATAAAGTAGATTAGTTCAAGCCGTTGAGCTCTGGGTAGGAAATGTCGAGGCTCTGGGTTGCCCTGCACCGTAATTTTCTTCTTTAACTTCACATCCGGAGTAGCGTGATCTACTTTTTGCAAAAGTAGGACTTGAAATTCCATGATATCCTCATCGCGGACTGTATGCCTTGACTACTTGCCAGTATTGCTGGGCACAATGGGTATAGTGTTTCAGTTTCATGATATCTTTAAGAGATTCTTGGTTTAAGCAGGCATTCATTTTCGTCACCCGGAAACGGTAATTAAGAAGCCTTCAGGATCTTCAAGGCCTTCTCTTGATGAGTCAAGAAATTCCTAATCAAGACTGTTTTCGCGATCAACGCCTCTGTTTCTAGCTCTTTTCCTTATGCGAGCCGCTTATACATTTCGGCCTTCTCTGCTGATCGCAGAACCCAAAATATTTTAATTTTCTCGGTGTGTATTATGAAGGGAGTCACTCACAGACATCCTGTCTCAGCCACTAATAATTTCATCATTCGGCTGCGACAAGAGCGATCTCCAACCGGAAGACTGCAAGTTTATAGATAGCTACAAGAAGCAATCGAATGGTCGTTAATTTATCCCCGTCAAACGGTGCCACCCTGATCTATTTCTGAGACCAGACTGTTTAGGATCCAGTATCCTCATCCTGTGGGAGACAGACATATAAACCGAGCCATCCGCCAAAGAGAAAGCTGGTGAAAACAGAGGGCGCCACGAGATTCGCGCTTCGAGGGTAATGATATCCCAAAAGCCCCGTTCATAGTCCCTATTCATTGACGTAACGATGAAGTATAGTCGTCTCAAAGAAGCCACTTAGCAACTATGACACCCATACCGTCGGGATTCGGTCACCTTCTTAATCCACCACCGCCATCGTCTCGCTTGCGTCTATTCGTACGCCAACAACCTATCGCAGCACGAACTTGTGCGGCTGGCGAAAAATCTCGCCGATGTATCGACCCGCCGCCGATCCTCCAGCTTCTCGTAACAGATTTCGATTTTCAGTCCGATGAGGACGTCTGCATGCTGAAATACAGTCAATATGTTGTCGCCTGCCAGCTTTTTGCGGTCCCGAAAAATTTGCAACAAAATGCGAGTTCCATC